TCTCTCGTTAGGCCCTGGGAGGATTCCGTTATTGACAACATCAACGAGGAATACGAACGGCTTGTCGCACACCTTCATGACTGCGCCAAGAAGTCAGAGAGTTCCAAGAAGCGTCTATCTCTGGATACTCTCGAGCTGATTCACCAACGTGGAGCTGCACGAGCTTCAGGCAATTACCAGCTGACGTCTGAGCTTGCGAAGCTATGCAGAGAAGCGAAAAAGGAAGAGCTCAAAGAGAGGAGAGCAGCTGTACTGGTGGAGGCCGCAGAGGCGGGGAAGAGCATCCGCAGCACCCGCCGCGACTTCGCCGAGTGCAAGACCAAGACCCCATCATCAGGGTCATCTTCTCTCGCGGAGAGAAGATGACCCCCTCTGACGTCCGGACGGAACAATCACCGCATCCGGAAGGGCAATGGAGAAAATCATCCACGACTTCTACTCTGATCTCTTTGACAGCCACGTTCACCTGCAACCATACCGCTTGGAGCAGGATGGATATGTCGTTCCTGCAGTTCTCCCTTCCAAGTCCGACACGCCATCTCGTCGGTAAAGAATCGTACGGCACCCGGTCCCGACAGCATCAAACCTGAACATCTAAAGAATCTTCCGCCACTTCTTGTCAAAACTCTGGCTCGACTCTTTACGCGCTGCCTGTAGGACTGCAAGGTACCCACCTCGTGGAAAACCAGCAAGACTGTGTTGTCGCCCAATCTGCCTGCTGTCTGTAGTCTAACTCTTCACACGAGTCATCCTGAACAGGATTGGCAGAACACTAGACGAAGGACAGCCATGCGAGCAAGCAGGGTTTCGAAGAGGATTCAGCACGATCGATCACATCCACACGGTAAAGCTCATCGAAGTAACGCGAGAGTACAAGATGCTCTTATGTCTCACGTTCATCGACTTGAGAAAAAGCCTTTGACTCCGTTGGGACAGAAGTGGTTATCAAAGCCCTGGGCAACCAGGGTATTCCTGCTCACTACATCAGGATTCTTCATGAGCTCTACAGCAACTTCACGATCTAGATCTCACCATTCTACAAAGAGATCATCATCGATGTGAAGAGAGGGTCCGACAGGACGACACCATCTCACCCAAGCTCTTCAGCGCCTCTCTCGAGAACATCATGCGTCAGTTGGAATGGGAAGAAATGGGAGTGAAGATCGACGGTCGGCAACTACACCATCTCCGCTTTGCTGCCGACATCGTTTTGGTAACACCAACCATTGAGCAAGCGGAACGAATGCTGGTGATTTCGACTGCGCGTGGGGAAAAATCGGTCTACAGCTGAATCTAACAAAGACGATGTACATGAGAAACGCATGGGTTTCTGATGCCCGGCATTCACGCTCAACGGAACGACCATCTCTGAATGCTCTAGGTCGTGAAATCAATATGATGAATGACCTAGCTCCAGAGCTGAGCAGGAGGAAGCGAGCGGCTTGGGGTTCCTTCAAGAACATCGAGTGAGTAGCGAAGAAGACGAAGAACACCAAGCTCCGTGCCCACCTCTTCAATTCCGCGGTACTTCCTGCCGCCTCAAAGACTTTGACTCTACGAAAGCAGGAAGAGCGTGCGGTTGGCGTTATTCAACGCGCCATCGAAAGGGCGATGCTCGGAGTTTCCTGCTACACGCAAGTGAGAGAGGGAATCCGGAGCTCCGCCGACGGTCGAAGATCAGAGACCCCGCCGCATTTGCCAAGTGTTCGAAGATTAGGTGGGCCAGGCACGTCATGTGCTTCGAGGACGACCTCTGAACCAGAGCGATCACCATCTGGATTCCACGGGATGTCAAGCGAGCGCCTGGACGACCGCCTATGCGATGGCTCGGGAACTAGTGGGGTACCTCCGCATGAAATGTTGTCAGTAAAGTTTGGAGACAGACTCCGCGACTGTACATTGTGTATAGCAGTATTTAGTTATAAACTTGGAGTAGTTGAATGACTCTTGACGGGAGAAAAAGCAAAAACAAATAATCGGAACTCCTTGAAGGCACGGCCAGCGATAAAAAAGCCTAGGTGTTGTGGAAGAAATGTGGAAGTAAATCTGCCAAGTGAACCATCTATGAAGAGGAAATGCCAAAGGGAACTTTAAAAACGCATTCGTCAGGCTTCCTCTAGCCACAAACAAGTGTAGAGGTAAAAGACTGAAAAGACCGCTCGCAGGGGCAATTCCCTTTGGCTGATTCCCAGTAGCGTACCCCATGACTCTACAAGAGACATTGAATACATTCACTCCACGATATTTTCCCGAGAGCATTACTTTTGCTATGAGGCCTTGGAGGAGGAGTCTGGAGGCGGGGTCACTGAAAAAAGGATGTATCACTGTAGCAACTTTGCGCCTTAATTCCCTTACCGTGCAACTTTCCGCCACGAAACTGGCACAGGGCTGTCCATTCCGTACCGCACTACCATCACACATACCCTCTTGCATTTTCATAGGTCATCGCGGACCGCCCCTTTAAAGAAAGGAGGACTTGGCAGCTTCTCAGAGCGAGATATCCGAACCTGCTCGTTTTATGCCAGCGGAGCAATATCCTGCTGACGCTGAATCACTAATCGTTTTTTGCGACATCCAATAGCTGTGAGCCAGGGAATCCTACACCCACACCTGAACTTCATCCAAATACGGTAATGCTCAGTGTTCAGTGGAGCCACAATGGTGTCATTTGCCCATAAAGCATGGTAGGTGCTATCCACAAAGATTACAGTCATTGGCGATGTTAAGAACTGGGTTGCTCTGAAGCGAAGAGTATTTCGTTTTCCCGTCGAAACTAGCAAACTACCACCATTTTCTTTTTTTGTCCAACCATTTGCGCAGGAGAAGCAGATCTACGATGAAAGGGAGCAAATGGAGAAGTGCATCTGTGGATTTTTCCGTTCAAAGTCCCAGAATTACGTATTAGGCTGGAAGGAAATTCCTGTGACACACAGACCAAATTTTCAGACCAAATTTTCCTTCACCTCCATTCTGCAAGGTAATCACCTTTAATGATCAGGACTAGTAACTACCTTTTACACAGTTTCTCATTTCTACACTAATAAAACTATGGCAACGACGAAAAGGAGAGATGGACCTTATTTTCAAGTAGAAGTCGATTTTCAAAATTTTCACTTTCTGAAGATGCGAGAGGGATCAAAGAAGATGGTAATTAGAGGCTGCTAGCTTTAGTAAGTAAGGTGTGTGCGGTCTCATTCCCTGAGCGAGATCCATGCTCTTTCTGAGTGGTCTCCTCTGTACATGCGATCCTCGCATTGCCGAGTAATAGAGAGAAAATGAGTGTTTCGGAATGAAATCTGGCGTGACGTCATCCATGTTTTGATGTTGATTAATGTAGGCTGTGTTCGCCATTTCTGCGCCGGCCCAGTGACATCGCTTTGAGGGTCCCACCACTGACACGATGCGATCTTTATTTCGTGCACATCTGTTTTTGGCTAAGCAATTTTCTCCTTGAGAGATCCTGCGAATGATGTGTGCATGGTTTACGCAAGGACTCCAACACTCGCTGCCGAACCCAAGATCTTGCAAATGTTCTTCCAATGTGTACGGGAAAACGAAAACACGGTTACGATCATACGGTGCGCTTCAACAGACTGGTCTAACTGGAGACATCCTTCGGAAAAAAACCTTCCCTATGACGAAGATTCCAGAGAACCATGGCAGTCGCTTAGGTGCTAGAGAGGTTGCGAACTTACTGATGGTTACGTTCGGGTGAGCTTCCAGAAGATTGAGTGAACGGCCGTCATTCTGTGCTGGTGGCTACCTATACATTGCCTACCTACGAATTAAGTAACTCCAGCTCGGAAGTGCTGACGCAAACGACCCTCCGCCATGGTAAGCGATATCCTTCCTTAAGACAACGCAGGTGTTAGCTCCCTCGACTAGTGGCCCTACAGGTACTCATATTATGGGATAGGTCAAAAAGTACATTGATCTTAGAGGTCTTATAGGTTTTGAAAGGTTCCACAAAGCCATGATATAATAGGACGTCGGAAAGTTCTCAGCGTTTTGAGTGTTTCACTTTAAACGATCATAACTTTCTCAATACTCATCGGACTTAATCGAAATAAGTACCAGTGTGACACTAGTCGGTAATGAAGATAAAACTGGGTGGTCGAGAGTTCACGAAATCCACGAAGGCTTTTTTGCCTGGTCCTGATTGATGAAGTATTTTCCAGCAAGGGAGTTCTGAAAATGTTTGAGAAGGTGATACTCGATTGGTGAAAGTTGTGAAGAATATGGCGGGTGAGGTAGAACTCCAACCCCTAACTCGTTCAATTTATAGATAGTGATTTGTGAGACGTGTGGGCGGGCGTTGTCATGCAAAAGAATCGGACCCTTTCTGTTGACAAGTGCTGACTGCAGTTGACGCAATTTCCAATACATTTCGTCGATTCCTTCACAGAAGGACTCTGCTGTGATGGTTTGGCTTGGTGACAAATAGATAGCGGATCACACCAGCCGATGATCACCGCACTATAACCATAATCATTTTTTCGTGAGGATTCGGCTTTGGAAATCGTCTGGGTGGTTCGTCAGCATCCAACCACTGCCCGGAACGTCTCTTGTTATCATACGTGATCCACTTTTTATCACAGGTGACTCACTCTGAAAAGAAGTCGTTTCTGTTGCGCAAAAGCAGTGAAGAAGAAACCTCGAGACGTGCCAATTTCTGCCGGTCACTCAAATTGTGGAGCACCCACTTGTAGAGTTTCACCTTCCCAATGCGTTTCAAACCATCCACAGCAGTGGATTTGCTAACGCCTAGCTTTTTTGCAATCTCTCGAACTGTTTGGGATGGGTAAACCTCCACAAACGCCTTCAAATCCTCGCCAGATATTGCTTTAGGTCGACCGCCACAAGGTCAGTCTTCAAGGCTGAAATTTTTAGAACGTAAATTTGTCGAACCATTGTCGCACGGTGCTTTCTCCAACACTACCATATATAGAAGGGTTCTCCTTAATATAGTACGTACAATCTGAGGCACATCAACCTTCTTCTCAAGCATTCTCTTCCCTCATATTTACTAAGTTCATTTGTGGACAATACTTTTTTACTGGGGTCCCACTCCAGTCAGAGTAACACCAACCTAGCCTCAATGCCAGCTCAGTGGACTTGTACTTCTAAATAAAGTCAAATTATATATCTGCTGCAATCTCTTTCGTACTAATTAAATTTGATACTTACCTTCAATTCATTACTGTTAAGATTTCTTATGAGAAGATACGCATTCTTCACGATTATATCTGGCACCGGCAATTTTTGATCTCCGCAGTACATGCGTTTTTCCTTCTTAAACTTTCGTGGTCTGACACCTTATTAGTATTAGTATGACCACGGTAAAGACGTATTTTGGTACCGTTTTTACGATTAAATTCAGATAGGTTTTTTCTTCCTCTATCTAAAAGTCAGCCCAGAACGCAGAAGTCATTTCAGCCTAAGCAATTTCTTCAAAAGTAAATTATAACTTAAAATAATTTAACACCTAGTAGCTTAAAGAACATGTAAACCTACTTTGATATTTATGGTGTCAGCGTTGACACCGGTTTGTATTACCCAGGCCAGAAGACACCATTCCTTTGGATTGCTATATCTTAACATCAGAACTAAATCTGTAACACAGATAGACCTCCTCTTCATCTTTATAGCATATAATTAACTTACTTCACGACTTCCTTGAGAAAGAATTCCGCCGCCTCCTTGACATTTCTTTTCTCCTTATTCGGCACAGCAACAATCCTGACTATTTTTGACATTACAGTTCCGTTGATGTTTTCCTGTTGATTCTCTATGCGCTTAGTCTGATTGAAGTTTTCCCGGTTTAATCCAGGTTTTCTGAAACATAGATATTAAAATATTCCACTGATATATATTAATTCCATTAGAGTTGTGGTATACTCACAATCTCTTCTTCCATTTTCACTCAAATATGATATCCCTGATGATGTTGCCAACTGGTTTTATTTGCCCTTAAAACATACTGAACATGTTACTGAACTGGGTCAAAAATGGTCTGACACATAAATAAACACTGCGACAGTTTAATCAAGACTGGTTCAGAAATGTGAGTTAGTAAGATTAAACGTAAATGCCAAACAGACAAATAACAAAAAATAACAGTAACAAATAATTCACCTTTTAGAACCTTCTAGTAAAGGAATAGTAACACTAAACAATGCGATTCAACACAAATGGTAAAACACCTGTAAACATGTCTTTTATGCCAATTAGTTCTTTTGTTACTACGTATTTCCTCAGATATTACACGCCTTTATTTCTTATTGAAGTAAAAGTTTAACCAATAAGTTGATAGTTCAAAAAAGCGTACCTCAACACAATGTATAACTTATAAGATGTAACATATAAAAAACCTGATTGTAACATATAAAAAACCTGATATGTCGACTCTTGCCCCTGAAAGTAAAGCTACAATATAAAGAATAGGATAAGTAAAAACTTAAGTAAACGAGTAAGTAGATGTTACATAAAGTTTGACGTCAAAACCTAACATACACATGGTATAATTAGCCAACACTTACATACTCACATATTTATATACTACGTATAGTGCCAATAAACAATAACTCACTGTTTTTGCTCCACAACAATATGCGGTAGACCAGGGAAATAGAAAAGGAGACGGATTAACCTCAGGAAAACCCATATTCACTTTAGACGCTTACACTATTGATCCATGACTCAGCCATGGAATCAGAAATTTTGATTTTCTCAGCTAGCTAGTTCAAATGGGCACGTAAGCAGAGTCTTCGTGCATGAAATTATACATATTGAACTTATAGTTCTATTTTTCAAAAAAACGCCCGTATCACACAGTGGGTTACTACTTACCTCAATATATGGAATAACAAAAAAGGAGAAGGTGGAGGACAATGGAGTTTCAGTCAGATTATCAGCATAATATTCTATCCCCTAAAAACAGAATTTTTCAGGTATATTAAGCAAAACAACCCTATGCAGTGTAGTGGCAAGTTTGCCAATCTATCGAAAAGGCAAAATTAATAGATAAACGGGCCACTATGTAACATATTCATAAATTTGCAGCAAATGATAAAGCAGAACCGCGCACTCGATAGTTACTGATGTATTCACGTACTTCACAAACATAGCTTAGTACAGTAAGTAACAAATTATAAGACAATTGCTTGGAAACACACGGCTATGGTGTAGTTACGTACAGTACGTTATCTAACTATTACGGTATGCCAAATATATAAAGACATAGCAACAGCTAGTCACAGTTACAAATTTAAATGTTCTACACAAAAATATTTAACGACATATGGTGGTGTAAGATGATTGCTCGTCAAATCAACTTCATTATTAAGTAATAAATAGTAGGTTAAGCAATAATTACATAAACTTTTATTAGAAAAGATACGTTATAACACAAAAACGACTCACCGTAAAGACCAATTTCGTTTGCACAGGCTAACTCAAAAGATTTTTTAGGCCGTTCGTGCTTAAGCATCATATACGGTATTTTTCTCTTATTCTAGGTGGGAACAGCAGGAAGTAAAGATCAAACGATCTCACAGATCAAATATAATTAAAATTAAAAATAATTATATGTAGGTTACCATACCCCTTTTATTAGATCGATAAGTACCTTACACCCTCTAGTTAGCCTCCTCTCCCAATTTTTTCACAACTCATTTTTTCTTTATTTTTTAAACTTTTATTAATTATATACACTTTTGTGTCGTTTTTTGTCACTTATTGCATAATTACTTTTACACATAAAAAAGGAGGGCCATACCTCCTACTAAAAATAGGGATTAGCGCTGATGAGGTTATACAAGTCAAAAATGGGAAGAGGGATCAATTTTTGACGCCTCCAGCGCTAATCGTTCCCTTTGGGAACAAACAGGGAGTGCCGACCGCTGGGCAGCAGTCCTGCCGAACCCTTCGGGAGTTTCCTCTCTGTGTATGGGTTGTACCGCCCATACACTTAGATAATAGGTCAAAAAACAATCCTTTTTCATACTAAAAAGAAACCTAATTCAACAAGGTAAGGAGAGAGGATTAACAGTATATCTTAAAAGACTTTGGTGATAACAACGAGGGTGTCAGGTGCTCAAACAATTGTAGAACTTGTGATATTACTGACATAAGTAACTCTATAGAACCTCATGTAATAGGTTTACATATGAACACCTACAAACAAGATGACACCAACTGTAAGTCAAAGAACGTCATTTACTGTCTAACATGTAACAATTGTGGAAAACAGTATGTAGGTATGACAGTAAGAAAACTCAAGGATAGAATAGGCGAACATATTAACGGCATCTATAAACATAATAAACATACGCTCTTATACAATCATTTCTACGAATGTGTTAAGGGAATCAAAGTTACGGTGTTAGACTCTATAGAAACTAAGGAAAAAGCTATATTACTAGAAAAGGAATTGTTTTAGATAAAACTATTGGTGACTCCCTATCCTTTTGGCTTGAGTGATAATATTAGGTTGATATGAAAGTGATGTCCCATTTAAAAAATTTTCTGCTTTATTTTAGTACTCAGCATACAATGCAAGCTACTCAACAATATAATCACCATTATTAGGGACAACAGTCTCTCACTTAATGGGCAGGTCAGCTATCCCCTTCTCCCAGAACTGAGCAGTGTGGGAGTCGAAGAACTCACTCACCGCCGATTTCACATCATCAACTTTGGTGAATTGTTTCTTAGCTAGAAAAGCCTTAAGGGGACGAAACAAGTGGTAATCTCAAGGAGCTAGGTCAGGGGAATAGGGCGGGTGAGGAACAGTTTCACAGCCCAGCTCCTCCAGTTTTTCCCGGGTTTCCTTTGCTATATGGGGTCGAGCGTTACCGTTCAGAAGGTGGACCGAAGCCCGTCTCGGCCGTTTTTCGCGAAGAGCTTCGGCGAGTTTGCTGAGTTGGCGTGCGTAGATGGGCCCGGTGACCGTCTGGCCTTGCGGTAGCAGTTCGTAGTACAGCATACCGCCCGGTCGTCGACTGCGTGGGGGCGTCCGACCGAGGCTTATCTTCGAGTTCGTGTCTCCTTTCTTCGAAGCGAGAGAACCAGCGCTTGACCGAGTTAAGAGAAGAGGTGCCCTCTCCCAATGTGCTGTTGATGTTTGGAACGGTTGCCGTCGCTCCGGTCCCGCGAAGCCATTCGTAGGAGATGACGTGTCGAATTAGCTCTTGTGTGATTGCCATCGTGATCAAAGCTATAGGAAGCAGCTCAGCTTTATATACCCATAATGGAGAAGGTTCGAGAATGTTCTACAACTACCACTTGCTTGGTCATCGATATCGACCAAGATTCCAAAGTTCTCGAAATTTCAAAAAAATGGGTCAACTTTTTTATCACCCTAATATAAAAGGCCTTGGTAATTTAGCAAGCCTAAACACGCCTTTCTTGTTGAAAGCAACTCCCCTTCTTTTCTCTCAGAATAACAAAGAATAGGGATGATAGGGGCAGAAGAAAGAATAGAAGAATAAAAAACAAAACTAATCATAAAGAAATATTGGAAATAATTGCAAAAGAAGAGGGCACGCTCAGACCGATAGACTCTATATGACTTTTGTAGGCTAATAAAAAGTTTACCAAAAAGAGAAATAAAAGAAATCATAAAATTATCCACGTGTAACGATTTTTTGGAGAGCGTGAATAATAAATCCAGATTTTTAATTTTCTGTCTTCTGTCACACTTTCATTATTACTCGTATGAAAATAATAAACAAAAAAGGACAGCCATAATATAGTAGGTAATTTTTATAGCAGAATATTTAGCTGCATACCATTCACCAAGATCTTTAATTCTAGGGGAAAATAACAAGAATGTTGTTTACCAACAGAGAAAATACACAGAATTTTACCCCTATCAGAATTATATATAAATATCAAAATGCGGTTTCCAGTAAAATATTCAGTTATAACCGCCGTATGTTAAGGAATTTGACTGAGGAAACAATAGATAATCTACTTAATAGTGACCGCATTTGCAAAAGTGGCGCAGTTGAAAAATTCATAGATGGGAATCATGGTCATGTTATAAAGGGTGATTTGAAAATAATTAAGGGAAAAAGCTTTAGAGAGCTACTCAAAAAAGGAACTAAATACGGAATTGATCCAGGTGTGAGTAGAAATGTAGGTAAAAACTTATACGAAGATATCATTAACAAAACGACTGTATTTTTAGAAATAAATATAAAATCAAAATATCGCAAATTAATTCAGTCAAACGAAAAATTTCGGAGAGAGTACGCCCAATAATTTAATCAAATTTTATCGGAGTTATTATGTGTTTTGTCCTCTGGATAAAGAAGTAATAATTATGGCATTATCTGGAAAAAATTCTATCTTAGCACTATCATGAACGAAATGGGTATTAGATACGATATCAGTAATAGAAGGTTCTTATACACTAGCTCACATAACACCTACGAAGTTATGCAAAATAGTAATAAAGACCTTATAATTGAGATGCATGCACAACATTGTATCAATAACAAAATTACTAAGCAAATGGACGCGGATTCACCAATCATTCATGCCCTACCAAAACTTCACAAGAGTGCTGTCAAGTTCCGATATATTGTAAGCGGTTGGGTGGTGTGGCTGACTTTGCTCCAGGGTGACTCATGCCTTTTCAGGGCGGAGCGATAGTCAGCTGGATCGAGGAGACGTCTTGCTGCACAGGTTGAGGACTGCAGCCTCTGTCTCTCCTTCTCTCTAGGGACGCCCTCAATCCCCAGACCTGCTTGATCTCCGTTCTTTCTTGTTAGCATTGTACTGTTTCTTGTTCGTGTAGCTTGTCTTACTTCCGAATGTATTTGCCTTCGTAAAGTGTCATGTACTCCGTCGCTATGTATGCCATATTGACTTCATTCGCCTTTTATCCATGTACCCGCGTGTCAGATAAACTTTAGTACTTATCGGTTTTGAAGCATGGTAACGGTGCAGCTTTCACTGCGTGACGCTCGTTTACTGGTAGCAGCGAGGGTTCCCCCCTCGCTGAAGTTGGAACTTAGGAAGAGTCCCCCTTTCATATTTGATCCTTCGAACTAGCTCGAATGCGGCAGCTTTGTGTTAGTCATTTCACCTCGAAGATCGAAAAGGCGAAGATCACTGCGGCAGATGTCTCCAAAAAACGACTACAGTAACCCTCTTTTTGATCTGGGCACACAGCTGTCAATTCCGCAGCCTGCGAAAGTCGTCCGCGTCTCCTTTCTTTCCTTTCTTCTTTTTATCGTCGCCCAGATGCCGTTTCTTCTTTCTTCAAATCGTGGGTTTATAGAAATGTTACTGTAGCCCTTCTTTTGTCCGGTAGGAAAGTAGAATGCCTGATTAAGGGGGGGCTTAAAACCCGTTTGAAATCAAAAAAATACAGAATAAGAAAATATTCCCGGGGACCGGTTGGTCAAATACATGGACTTGTGTAGTGGGTATTACCGAGTTGCAGATAAGAGTTCGGTGTCAATAGTGCCCATTTCAGGAAAAATGGAGGAACAAGTGGAGAAGTGCCGTCATGGCTGCGCAGCGAAAATCGACGAGGAGAAGAAGAAGCGACAGGATTCGCGTTGTCAAGGTTCAAATAGTTGTAAAGGATTCGCAGAAAAGGTAAGGTGTTTGTTACAAGGAAAATTTGAGATACCTAGGGTGGTATGGAGTATTTGGTCGTGTATTTTCTAGCATTTGATTGCTAGTGCTATGTTCTGGTGCTATGTCCTTCTTTGTTCTCATGCTCCATTTCATTTTCAAGTTGTAAAAGTTTTTGGCCGTTCTCTTCGTTAATGGATTGAGGGGTTGCCTATGTATTGATTTAACACCTCTCTGGGGCGTTCGTTTCTTATTCGGCCGGTTGGCCCATCACACAGATTTGATATTTCAAAACGCCCCATTCTCAATTTTGAAGGGCCTTCAACAAAGGCCCTGAGCAAGTCCCACTACAATGTTAATGAGGCAAAGGTTTGTCTCCAGCTCATCAAGCTATTGCTTGCCAAAGGGCTCCACCAGTTGTGCGTGATATCCTTTTACAAGGAACAGTCACTACACCTGCAGCACCAGTTAGATGCCGTGAAAGTCAAGCTGACGACTGTTGATTCAGTTCAAGGACGCGAGAAACAGGTAGTCATTCTTTTAACAACGCGAACTAGCTTTTCGAATGATTCAGCTGACTTCTTGGATGATTATCGCCGAATAAACGTGGCAATATCAAGATGCCGCCATGGGCAATTCATCCTAGGCGAAGTTTCTTCGCTCGCCGTCGTGCCGTTCTCGAAGAGAGTGGTAGATTGGACCACTAGTATAAACGCCGTTGCTCCCGCCGATCACCTGGAGCAATACTTCCTTGGGTGAATCCCCACTCCCCCGCTGCGGCTGGGTAGTGTGGCTGACTTTGCTCCAGGGTGACCCATGCCTTTTCAGGGCGGAGCGGCAGTCAGCTGGATCGAGGAGACGTCTCGCTGCACGGGTTGAGGACTGCAGCCCCTGCCTCTCCTTCTCTCTTCCTAAGGGCGACGCACTCAATCACCAGACCTGCTTGATCTCCGTTCTTTCTTGTTAGCATTGTACTGTTTCTTGTTCGTGTAGCTTGTCTTACCTCCGAATGTATTTGCCTTCGTAAAGTGTCATGTATTCCGTCGCTATGTATGCCATATTGACTTCTTTCGCCTTTCATCCATGTACTCGCGTGTCAGATAAACTTTAGTCCTTATCGGTGTTGAAGCAGGTAACGGTGCAGCTTTCACTGCGTGTCGCTCGCTTACTATATTACAAGAGCATATAATAGTAGTCTCAAACCTGGCAACCTACATATTCACACATATTAAAAAACACTTCAAGAATTATAGAAAAGTGGTACTAGATCGTAACAAAACTATTAAAAATTATTGGTCTATTAGTGATATAAATATTAGTCACGAACTTCACTGCATAATAGGAAGAGGGCATCAAAATGTATACTGCAGATTTCACAGATATGTTTACCAATTTAAAACATAATGATATTACTAAAAATATGAAAGAATTGTTAAATAATTGTTTCAAAATGCCAACAAGTCACTCATAGCTTCTGATGGTCATCGAGTTTTTTATACCGATAATAAAGATAGTTCCAACAAACTAAGAATTTGTAAAATTGAAGATTTATTATTTCTGATAGAACATTTACTATTTATAATAATAGTTTTTGTAATCTCGGTTGCAATATATTTAGACAAACCATGGGGGTGCCTCAGGGAGGTAATTTTAGCCCTCTGTTGGCGGATCTTACCCTCTCTACAATGGAGCATAACTATTCAAAAAATTGTAAAGCCGACCCTGAAGAATGTTTTTACCCTTATAGATATATGGATGACCTGCTTGTAATTCATAATCAAACAGAGGACGAAATTGACAAGAAATTGAAAGAAGTACTATATAATGATGTATTAGATTTGAAGAAAACTCTTATTTCAAACCAACACAGCAATTATCTACATTTCACTATTAAGGTCTCAAATAACAAAATATTTATCAAATTGTATAATAAAACAGATGAATTTGATTTTAAAGTTATTAAATTCCTACACAGTGATAGCAATATTTCTCTCAAAAACAAGGGTGCAGTTATTTACACGGAAACTTTGAGAATAGCTAATACATGCACTTCATTTGAGACTTTCAATAACAAGGTCAAAGAAATGATTCAAGTTCTTTTGGATGACGAATACGAAAAAGAATTTATAGTTTTACATATAGTGAATGTATATATAAGAAAAAATTTATAAGTTATAAATATGCTATAAAGAGGACTTCAATAGTGTCACTAAGCTTCGTAATCTTCTAAATACACACTATTGCAGATTAGGTACAAACAACTTTTATAAAAAATAACTATATACGGTTACCACCTCATACTTTCACCTACAGCATCCTCGTGTGCTCTACTTTGGCTTCGTGTCCTTGTTGCCCTTGTTAACTGAGTATTCTATCCTTTTCCCCTATGTCTCAACCAAAATATGCATGCCCTATTTACTATTCTCTCCGTATTGGCATTGTTTAACCTGTCCTGTCTGGAATGTTTCTTCATCATGGGCCCTAGTTGTTATACGTATTGCTTATTACATACTCTTATCGTTAGCTCCAACTCACTGAAGAGCCTCAGGAGATAACGTACAAAAAGTGGTTCGTCTAGGAAGAGACGAAACGGACCACCCGCACTTCATTCTTACTCTTGTTTTCTTATGTTTCCTATTCATTTACTGGTCAAAGATACCTTTCTTTATTAATAACACATCGTTCGAAGTTGCTCTTTCGACATGCTTTAAAAAGTACTGGGTAAAGGGGGTTATCAAGCAAAGGCAAAACGGCAATTATACCGTCAGATAGCGAAAATTCTCTTCAGGATGCACTACTGAGACGCAACGGAGAATGAGTTTTTAAACAGCAATGAATGTGCAAAAAATAGTAACACAAAAGCTGAGAACTTTCCGGACAACCTAATACATGTCTGCAAAAACCTCACAGGACACTCTTCACCAATCGGGAGTGCAAACTTTCAAAATCTTTTTTGCTTTTACTAGAACAATTTAATCGACTGTCGCAGGACTTTCTTTACAAACAAAACAACCTAATAGAAGGGCTATTCACAAATTACTTGGCAAGATGTTGAGTCATGCCCCTCGGGAATATTTCCGGGGAACATGACATTCTTTCCCATCCTATATGCTTAGTTGCCAACTTTTCGAAACTTCAAGCTCCAAATGCTTCGAGGTTTCCAAGGTTCGAGCGTGAAATGGGAAAAGCTGCCAAAAGTCAACAGCTAGAAATTTTTTTCGCAATGCAGCAAATACCTTTCGAAGGCAAAAACGACCCCCCCCCTCCCACTTGAATTCTCTAACCGATGCGATGTGAATAGCGCCCGTGAAACAGGAAAAATCAACTATTGAAAAAAATTGTTTCCTCCGCTGAGGATTGCCCAACGTAGGACGAGCCCAGATTGTAGATAGCAATGGCGCATATGCTCATCAGTTGTTGAATGTATTGAAAGAGAGAAATAAATTTTAAATAATCTGCAAAAGTAGGGGGAAACATTTTGGACAGCTTAATACTATATGGCTCTTGATTCACACGCTCCGTTCAAAAAGCTTATCTGTTGCCCCGATTAGATCGGACCGATTTCAACAATTTTTCCGTGCACCCCAGCCTAATCAGTTGTGGTTACAACTAGGCATTATTCCTCCGGGTAAACCTAATAGCTTGATGTTCATCGCGGTCCAATTTCTTGAAGAACTGGTTTCAAAGTGCTTTTCGTGATAACTCTCCATAGCAAGTAACTGAACCTTTCATTTTTGATACACACGAATGGCACTTCTAGAAATTACATCCACTCGCTGTTGTTGAATATCTCCTACGCGTAAGAAACCCTGCATATCTACTCTCTTGCAAACCATACGTGACTTTCAGGAGGGCACTTACTGTCTGATAAGACGGCGTTTGTGAACAGTAGGTCGTTATCGATAAACGAAACACCTCGCTCCCGACGCCCAAACACGTTTGCAAATTAATCTTTGTGATGAACCGTGAAATATGGTATTTCACTTTTCTTCATTTCGATTTCACTTTTTCACCTTTCTTTTCGTTCTGTTCTTCAGCCCTGATGTCCGTTTTGACTATGATGCTAATCGATGGCAATCACATGGTCAACGTTCCTTAATGTTGTCATTACCTATCTTAAGGGCCATGGACATTTGCGTTGTTGGAGCTGGAATAATTGGCATGTCTACAGCCGTAGCAATACAACAACACCTTCCGCAAAATCGAGTAAACCAGATATTTCCCTTTTCAAGAAGTTTTAATTGTTGCATGAGTCTTCTGTCAAGTGTTTTTTAACTCCCATGGGCACTTACCCTCGTCATTCCCCGGCGCTGCCATTATGTCCGGGTCGTTGACTCGGCCCACCAAGGCGGCGTCGACAAACTATCTTGCTTTTCCAGCTAAATTAGAGGTTCTATCCTCTCAGCCGTTCTTCCCAACTCGTTCACTGTTTTGGCCTACTTTTCCTCGCAAGAGTCAGTTCAAGCCTCTCTCTATCTTACAACCGCCGGGGAAAAAAATAACGTAATAGCCCCTGAAAGAAGGCCTAAATACCTCCTTCCGACGACGCTGCGGCCCCGTTGACGCTACCGCTCTTAAGCTCCGCGAACTGCCCCATGACGAGAATATATTACGTTGTCCGGAAAGTTCTCGGTTTTGAGTGTTTCACTCAAACGATCATAACTTTCTTAATACTCATCGGATTTAATCGAAATGAGCACCAATGTGACACCAGTCGATAAACCCCATCAAAGAAAAAACTGGCTGGTCGAGAATCCACGAAATCCACGAAGGCTTTTTTTGCCTGCTCCTGACTGATGAAGTATTTTCCAGCAAGGAAGTTCTCAAAATGTTTGAAAAGGTTATAGTCGGTTGGTGAAAGGTCTGGAGAACATGGCGGGTGGGGTGAGGTAGAACTTCAACCCCCCCAATTCGTTTAATTTGTGGACGTTGTCATGCAAAAGAATCGGACCCTTTTTGTTGACAAGTGCTGGCTGCAGCTGACGCAATTTTCGGTACATTTCGTCGATTTCTTTACAGTAGGACTCTGCTGAAATGGTTTGGCCTGATGACTAAAAGTTATAGTGGATCACACCAGCCACTGACCACCACACTGTGACCATAATCTTTTTTTGTGAGGATTCGGCTTTGGAAATTGCCTCGGTGGTTCGTCGGAATCCAACCACTGCCCGGAACGTCTCTGTTATCATACATGATCCACTTTTCATCACAGGTGACATTCGGTTCAAAAACGGGTCGTTTCAGTTGCGCAAAAGCAGTGGAGAAGAAACCTCGAGAACTGCCTATTTCTGCCGGTCACTCAAATTGTAGGGCACCCACTTGTAGGGTTTTTTTTCACCTTCCCAATGCGTTTCAAGCCATCCGCAACAGTGGATTTGCCAACGCCTAGCTTTTCTGCAGTCTCTCGACTGTTTGGGATGGTTCAGCCTCCACAAACGCCTTCAAATCCTCGTCAGGTATTGCTTGACCCAATTTGTAACTGAAGAAAAATATCGTCCAAAGTTGCTTTTTTGGCATGCTTCAAAAAGTCTTGGGAAAAGAGGGTTTAACAAGCAATGGTGAAACGGCAATTATACCATCAGATAGCGCAAAATATTCTCTCTAGGATGAACTACTGAGACGCAATGGAGAATGAGTTTTCAATCAGCAATGAATGTACAAAAAATGTAACACAGAACGCTGAGGACTTTCCGGACAGCGTAATAGTAGGAAGGGGATCCTCTAGTCAAATGTGTTTGAGAGAAACAAAGAAGCATCACCTAGAGGTGTCGTCTAGATGAAGTGATGACCACGAGTGAAATGAAACAAGTTGATTTTAGCAACAGAGCACTTTAAGGCGATACTATTCGTTATACGTTGGTAGGAAACCCCTACCGGTGTTCTTCAGTGGCGTGGACACCATAAATCGGTTCCTACAGAGCAGAGGCAGTGAATTGTATGACAGTAAAGTAAAAACGAGACGAAATGGCTGAAATGCCATTGTCCAATACAGAACAAAATGACAGCTGAACTGAAACATCTTACGAGTAAAAATCTTATACCATGTGCAGATGCTACCTATTTCGCCTCAGGGATAGGGAGGGTAAATCACCCGTGGTCAAAGATCAATGTGAAAAATGTCACGGCGAGTATGTTTCTTAGTTACTAGAGGCACTCGTTTTTGCTACAGAAGCTGGAGTGTGTCAAAGGGTGCAAAAGGAGCGGCGCCAGTCCGTTATCCACTTAATTATTGCCCCTTCCCCGCTTGAGCAAATGCTAGCGAGCGGATTGGCGTTGCCTTTACCCGCTTTCCTCCAACACGCCTCAGCGACTTGAGCAAAAACGACTGTACTTCTACTTTTCAACTGTTGAATTGTTCATGCACGAAAGCGTTTTTTATTTTTTTTGAGGTGGTGGTTATAGCAGAAAAGTTCTCTCCTGATCTCACTTCTGATATAGCTGCTGGTCTTATCGAGCCATATCTCAGTGGAGAAGATGCAGAAACTATCAAGTATTTTTTTTGATGTCCTTGGTATCGCGCATGCTTGAAATATCTAGATCTTGCAGTCGTTGGTGTAAGGAGACAATGCAACACATACGACAATACATGGAATCCGAGCCTAATGGAGGAGCTCAGGTATGCCATCTCCATTTTTTCGGTAAGATACGAATCTTGAAATTGCTCCTCTTACCTTAGTTCCGACCATGTCTGAACGAGACAGTCAGATGCTCACCCGTTTTCAACGCTTAAAACTCGAAAACGGAGGCAATTATTACTGAATCATGGAAAAATTGAGATGAACCGCAATCGTTTACCAAAGTTTCTCTTGAAACACTTCCGAGGTGGGGAAATATGGGAACTAAACTCTTTTTCATTTTTATAAAATGGCCAATGATGCAGCGATCGACATGAACATAACATATCTTACAATGGGATGACATCCGCAGTCACTTGAACAATCTCATATATCACGTAATGCTTGTGAATTACCGTGGACAGTTGCCGGAACTTCTACGGTGAATAGCAAGCTGCGTCACGGAAGGTACAGTCCTCATCATTGCGGACCGGTGGGCGTGTCAGACAGTATGAGTGTGCACTCTGTTGAAGCCTAAGCTTTTTTGTTGAAATGCGTATGCAACAAAAAGTGGTAGAAAACGAGTAATACGAAGGATATAATAGAGTAATTCCACTTGCCCGCTTCAACAACTGGTGCAGAACGACTCTGGCACCGCGCCAAACGCAGCCGCACTGACACTCCTCACCGGTCCGCAATTATGAGGACTCTAATGCAAAAGGTTCACCGCGCTTGCGTACTATAGTTCCAATGTGAGCGCCAATTGTGTAGCGATAGCACCGTACCCTCCCAAGGTACAGGTTCAACTTCCACTGCTACAATTACGTCCTTCTGAATTGGGGTTATCTCCTCAAATAATCAAACCAACAGTCGCAATCCTATGGAGAATTGTAATACTGCCAGAGAGCCGAGTGGAAAGAACTCAATACGCTTATGGTGCTTGCTTGCGGTGCTTTGAACTTGTGAATGAGTACTAATGGTGTAAAGGTGTCATAGTACCCTTATAAGGTTCAACCGTTTAATCAAGTATAGCCTGAACTTTCATTGAAAAGACAAGTGTAATAGTATGGTGGGAGCGTCATCCTAATTGTTCCATGTTCCTCTACAGTCCGGCACACATGAATCAGTACAGAGTTTATTATAATCCTCTTTATCACTAGTATGTAGAGGAATGTCGGAGGTGGTGTAGTGACAAGTGGCGCGCTTACCACTCGCCCGGCGCCGGGTTCGTATCCCGGGTCGACACCCGCCCAGGCCAACCAAGCCTTCTACCCTCCGGGGACGGTAAATTGGTTCCACATTTGTCTGGGAGGATAAAACACTAACTTGTACATCGGCCGGCCACCGCAAGTCATTGTATAGGCCACACAAGAATTCAATAAGCCACTACGATTCTGAATGGAAGTGGAATGCGTGCCGCATCCCACAAAGGGATTGAGCAACGGCGAAGACTTCATCCTTTATCCTTTATGTAGAGGAATCGAGTAGCTTGTGGTGTCGTGTCCTGGCGTCCGGCCTCGGGCATGAGCCAGTGGAAGCATGGTGGGTCCGAGGTGTGGCGGAGTCGGATCGGATAACGTTCACTCTGCTGGCTCCGTTACCAATGATATCCCATCCCATCGTACCATCTCTGCGCCAAGTATCATCCGGGCAGTTTGATTAGGGCGTCGTTCAACGGCCCGCAGCGCGTGCAGGAACTATTTGCTTTCTCCAGGCTAATTTAGTCATTTTTCCACCTTGTGAAGATAGGGAGCTGCTAATCTGGGAAAAAGTAGCCAAAACAGTGAAAAGTTGGAAAAAAATGACTAAATTAGCCTGGAAAAAGCAAATAGTTCCTGGCACGCGCTGCGGCCCGTTGACCACGCCCTAATCAACTGCCAGGATGAAGGGTATATCGAAGCCTTAACATACTGACTAGCCCTTACAGTATGAGCCTGAGTTGACAGCGGATCCTGGGCAACAATGGGATTCCTATTGCCAAAGCACGGGAGACATTTGAAAGGGTGTTTTCTACTCTTTATTCCTTCATTTTCTTTCATTTTCTACGTTCAAGTAAAATCGTGAAAAAATAGGAAGAAGTGAGGCGGAGGTGGTGTAGAGGCACCACTTACCGCTCACCACCTCGACCAATCAAACTTCCTACAGCTTCTCGAACGACAGAGTAGTATAAGATTCATGTAAGAGGGTTAGAAACTTACTTACACCGTAGTATACTGTTTCTTGATCCTTTAGCCTTCTGAGATTGTTAAAGACGTTTTATTAGACTGACGTTTCGGCGAAAATCGCCCACAAGTCTTTGTATAGGCCTCATCGCATTCACCATTTCTTTAAGATCTTGAATGGGAGAAGAATGCATGTCGCCAACTTTATCCTTAAATTTCCATAATTGATTCCTGCTCTATGAAACACTACAGATTTCCCGAGTCTACAGAAACTTGGAATAAACTGTCTAGTCTCATGATGTTATATGAGAAAAACCATTAGATCCTACTCTCCATTTAGGAAATGTCCGGCTACCGCTTCAGTCAAGGCCCAATTCCATCTTGGATTTCGCTGATGGATAACGTACATGTCCTGAGCGAGGCTGAAATTAAAAAACGACATCCACTACCGCAGAAGTGAGTTCACCTCTCTCTATGTGGCACACCTATAAAGAACACTGGCCTTTCAGATCAGGAGTTTTCTATACAACCCTCTACCTGCAACCAACAAAATATATCAAACACCTGACGAGAAGGTGCGTTTTACGACAGAGTCCACTGTTAGCTATAGACTGCTTATGGTTTACCCCTTTTTCTCTCTCGGGGCTCTTTTGGAACCAAACTATAAATTTTTGAAATATGTAGCTCACAACTGTGCGCACCCCCAGCCAACAGTGGGCGGGGCTTAGCTTAGTTCATGTGTATTCCGTACATCTTGGCCCATGCCCTACCCAACCCACCCTTGACCCGCCCCTCCAACTGGCTCTTCAGGTGATTCCGAATTTCCGGACAGACAGACGAACAAACAGACAAACAGGCAGACGTTGCCGTTTATATATAGTAGGATAGGCAAGAAGAGAGTTCGCACTGGTAGCTGAAACCATCGAAGTTTACATGTTGACAAGGTACATAGCAACCCCAAATACGTTACCCTTGAGATGTTTCTCTGTGAGCAGAAACGAACCCTTCACCACCGTCTCTACTTCCGCGCAAAAATGACGCCATATACATCACTGTCGTTGGGCTCACGACGGGCTATAGCATCGGCCTGAAGCAGCGTAATTTATAGGTTGGATTCCTCCACAAGCCGGACCGTATCAGACACTTTATAACGGCTTTCCAGACTTAGAAAGATTCATTATGATTCATAATCTTTTGTTCCGTGATTTTTGTGGGCATTTGAGAATTAGGGTTGATGTCACCTTACTCTAAGGCTGCGTTTATACTCTTATATATTTATATTATATTCTTATATTATTATTATATTACATTACTATTATATTATTATCATTATATTATATTATTATTATATTATATTATATTATTATTATTTTATTATATTATTATTTTATTATATATTATTATTATATTATATTATATATTATATTATACTCTTATATTATATATATTTTTTAAATACAAAAACTCTACTCGCTTCAATATTCTCCCCCTCTCTAGCCCCGTCGCTGCAAGCGCTGGGAAAACGCTGGAGAAATGCTGGTGAAGCTAGATCAATAGCTATGCTTCCCGTGCCCTCGCTATGCCAGCGTGCGCTAGCGTGCCGCTGGCGCACGCTGGGAACGCTAGATCGATATGCATCTTCTCTCCGGCACTGCCGCTGGCTTACGTTGGAAGCGCTACGCTGCCGCAAAGTATAAACGCAGCCTAAGGAAAATCGGTGGTTCAGTGGTAGATAGACAATTTTCATTCCTTCAACCGAGTCGGAGAATTTCAACCAAATCAGGTACCTCTCAAGGTCAGATCCAACACACTCTTTACTCCGGACAGTTAATTAAAGGCACAGTTCGCGATCGCAAATTGCGGGAAGCGGAACTCAAATAGGCACAAAAAAGTGCTAAGTGTCTGATTAGCGGAGAAATGCAGCAGAAAAAGCAGTCCGAAATGTTACAGGGAAAGATAACATAGTGGCTACTAGCTAGTAGCTAGCAGATGGTGAGGGTCGGCATGGGCCTAAGGGGTGTCCATGGACCTAATTAGTCAGCTTCTAGCAGAGTTTTTCACATTTTGAAAGTAGCGCAGCTCAAAAATCGCCTTCCGGATCGTCCGACACATTTGAGAGGTCATAGCTTCATTTTATCGCGGAATGTGCCTTCAAGCACATCGCTCCAGACGCTACCGCAAGTCCCTCCCCGACCACCACACCCACTTTTGGGAGCGGTCATTGTTTTTTTTGTTTTATAGCTCGTGCTTATGTGATTTTTCTAACAACCAGTAAGCACCTCTGCTTAGAAAAACTGGCACATTAGGCACCGCTTCCTTTCGAATGATTTTTTGCGATTTTCTGCGAAATTTAGTAATTATCCAGTGCCTTTGACTTTCCCATAAGCTGCACATTATAAATCGTACTGTTATCACCTCGACTATTTCGCGCACAATCCACCTATTTTTTTTGAATTGATCCAAGATAGGGGGCTAGAATTCCAATGAGCAAGACAGAGTCCCAGCAAAACTCGTCTGTTTCCATGTTTCGAACGAAGAGCTCGCCCATGTCTCAAAGTGTCTCATCCGGTTCGCCAGTTGAGACTTTAGCCTGCTAATTTGAGACATGGGCGACTTATCTCGATGTGTTCAGAGCCTCCCACAATGGGCGGAGCAGCAATGTGCAGCTAGGAAGATGAAAATTTTAGAAAAGGATCGAAATCTTTCAAACATCGCAGAGGACTCTCCCACAGTGGCGGAGTAGCAATGTTCAGCTGAGAAGGTGAAAATTTAGGAAAGGGTCAAAATTTCCACACATTGCAGATGACCCGTCGAAGCTCGTGAACAGGGCTGCGCTTGTGCTTGTATTTGGTGTGATCTCGCTAAAAGTGCTCAATTTTATTTCAAAGGTGTCCGATTCCGAATGGAAGTGGTATGTGACAAACTGAACGCGAAGGGAACGCAGTCTTCATCAAAAAGAAACTGAGTGTATGAGCATGAAAGTTCGAATTACTTTCTCTCCTCAAGCGTTTATTCCATTCTGTTACGGGGTCCGCCCTTCTTATTTCGTATTGCCACTTCTCCCGACTGAACGCCTGGCCGGGAGGGATGTCACCGATCTTCAAGTCTGTCTGCAAAGCGTCTCGCCAGCGCTGTATGGGGTCGCTTTCAAGGCACCTTGAGCGAAACCATCTTACGCGCGGTGTTAGGATTCGCGCGTAGTACATGGCCGTAGGTTTGAGATTCGCGCATTTTCTCGGCTACAGGCCAGCATTCAGCGCTGTATATCGCGACAGATTGCAGGATGGTTTGGTTTCGATTACTAGGACCTTTTTTACTGCTTCCGTACTCTGGAGTCCAAAGGGCATCATATCCGACGATGATATGACCCGACTCTAGCTCTTCAGGATCTTGGGCACGTCAGGTGAGTGGCGCGATTGAGTGTCCATATTACTCGTCTATCGCCATCCTATGCAAAATACCTTCTAGGAGTACGCTCGATAGGGAAGACAAATTTTTCATTGCCTCTTCCTGATGTTAGAGGTGGCTTTGAACACAACAAAGAAACGAAACATGATGAGCACTATGATCCGCTCCTTGAAAATAAGTGAAGAATGGCCGCCGGTATTGAAGGAAAGATCCAAGCTAATCACCGAACTCGGTTGAAGCTGGGTGTATAATCTTATACAAGCCCTATTCTTGATGAAAAACTGTTTTCTCAGAAATTCAACATTCACCCGATGATACTGGCAAAATCGCAATACACATCAGCAACAAACAGATGCTCTACATAGTCGCTCTAGGCTTCGAATTCCTCAAACTCTCCTGCAGGTTCATTGGCGATGGAGGGAAGATCGTCCGTAGACGAATAGAAACTTTGGAGGAACTTCTAGAAGATTTCGACTGCGTAGTCAACTGCACTGGACTCGAAGCGACGAAGTTGGTAGAGGACAAGCTGCTACATCCCATTAGAGGTCAGGTACGATGACCAAGAAAGGTGTAATCTCAATAGAGATTAGCTAAACTTCTAAATTTTAGATAATTCGAGTGCACTGCCCAGCTGTCAAACACTTCTTCCTGGATGACACTAACTATGTTTTACTAAAGTGAGTTTCTGCTAATATATGAGCCTAGGAATGAACGGAGGAAAAGAAGGTAGTTTTTGTGAAGCTCAGCAATCTCGTATTATATCCACTCTACTGGCTGGAGTTTTAACACGTTGACGACGAGCCGGTTTTTTCATGAATTGCCAGTTGGACGGGACAAAAACTTCGTAAAACTTAGTAATTTTTGGATAAATGAAGGGCTACGGTCGAAGTAGTTCAAGAAATGCAGAAGGCGAGAATACGAATCTCGATCTTCGACACAATTTAGCTTTTATTCCTCCAGTCTTCAGAAAGCAGTCCAGTTTTCATCAAGTTTTTCTTTGGGAGCAAATTTTGCTGAAAATTCGTCTCCTGGGGTAGTTTGACCTCCAGAAGACGAATATTACATCCTCTTGGCCCAAAACTGCTTGGCGCGCGCAATAGGCGCCACGTTGACGGCATTTCTCTTTTTATTATGACTTGTAGCCCCTTAACGTCTAGCGCCAGTGCCTGTGGCGCTGGCGCGCAGAGCTGATTTTTGGCCAATGGTTGTGAAATTCGTCGTTTCAGGGCCATCAAACTACCCCGAGACAAGTTTTCAGCGAAATGGTGATTGCGGGTATTTTGGCGCCGGCGGCGGCCATGTGGCGCGGTCCGCATCGCAAGCAAGCTGTGGTACTCATTATCAGAGTTACAAGCTACCGCCCAGAGACACGTTTACGGCGTACTTGGCTGTTCCGCTCATCTTTATTTCTGCAGAAAGTACACTGGCAGACACCATTGTCTGCCATCGTTCCATGAGACAGATTGGCTGTCAGCCACCATTGTCTGCCATCGTCGTCAGCGTGTTAACCAGATCAAGAGGACTGGCTACGTGCTTAAAAGCAGAGCCGCGACCACAGATTGGGGGTAACACAGCTCACACACAAACGAGAAATTGTTAGGTAAGTGACTAGTGGAGAAAAGCAGCAGAAAAAGCAGTCCGAAATGCCTCAAATAGGACTCCATGCCCACCTCAACCTGTGCGTGCCTGCAGTGAAGAAAACGCATGTTTGTACGGAATCCCACTTTTTTATGATGACGATGTAAATTATTTTATCTTATCACCTCTTTCACACAATTCGGAACGGAGAAATAGCATAGTGGCTACTAGCTAGTGAGCCAGTTGGGGTCGGCTGGTCAGCTTCCAGCGGAGTTCTTTCTTGAAAGTAGCTCAGCCTCCAGAATCGTCTCAGATCTTCTGCCACATTCGAGAGGTCACAGTATTGTTTTATGGCGGAAAGTGCCTTTAGGTTGAGCCCGGAACAGAATGCATTTTAGCGGTGGTCTTCCATTTGCGACATCTGACAACTGTCTTGTATATGAAAAAGGCATGGCTTCATGTGTTCCAAGGCAGAAACATCCCACCGAAAGCGACGCCGCCACGTTCAGCTCCACCTGCGGACATTTAGGCATACTCCTTATCCCTGAAACGATGTGGGCGTGACATTCAAAAATGGCACAGAACTGGTTACTCGTGGAATGTTTCAATTAGAGACAACGCCATCTTGTTCTTTGTTGGACAAAGACGTGATCACATTTGGATCAAAAGAAAATATCTCTGCAAAAGCATAGCCATCACGACGTTTAGTTAAAGTACGCAGCCACGCCTACCTCATCTCAGCGATTTCGAGTGTACGTGCATACGATTCCACCCCCCTCTTCCGGAGGTGTTTATGTGTCTACACGAATCGGAAGCGGAATATGTACAGCAGCCTCAGTCTTACATGTCTCATGTCTTACATGTCAACATGTCTTTTATTACGAAAACTATACAGGGGGGGGGGGCAAAAGAAAAAAGTCATTTTGCCTCTAAGTTACACTTTATTGAAATTTTATCGGACATTTTTACTACAATATTAAAGAGCACATTAAATACTATAACGATACTCCGCCACAGCCTTCTGGACGAGCGCCGCCATCGAGAGATTCGGCCGCGCGAAAGTGAGTGGGTACCGGAGTTGAGCGAGATCGTTGATTTCTTCGCCACCGTA